CAGTTTATGCAGCAATAACTTGTACCCTCTGTCTAAATCCGTTTGCTCTAGTTACCATCATTAGCCTAATCTTTTGGTAAAGATCATATTAAACCTTAGTCAAATTTAAATTTCTTGTAAGAACATGTAGCTTAAACCAACATACAGCTTTCAATCGCCAAGATTTTCGTTTTAAAACCAAATCCAACAAAAACACCATAAACACACTAAAATTTCAGATTTCAAACCCTTGCAAAATCACAAGCAGAGGCAGTGATTTACAATTACCGAAAATAGTGATTCTAGAACTTCTTAATTACTTTCCCAGAAATTATTTTTTTTAGCAAATTGTAGCATATTAGGAGTTATTTCTAAAACCATCCACCAAACAACCAAGCATGAAAATATTCGAGATCATCAAACACGCATACAACATATTTCCAAGCCATAGATCTGTAAACCAAATCTAAACCGAAACACAATCCTTCCCTTTTTTCTAGTTCAACCACCCCAATCATATTAACCCGAGTTTAGGACAACCTTACCCAGATCGGTCCATTTCCAATAACTGCATCAAAACCAAAGTAGAGGTCAGAATAGATTAAAGAGGTGATAAACCGAAACAAAAAAAAGATCTCACCCGCCTTAGCTGTCGTCAAACCACCGCCACGTTCGTTGCCGGCGGATTTTGGGTCCGGCGACATCCTCTGTTTCTCCTCCCCATCGAAGCCAGAGACCCGAAAAACCCCAGAAATCCAAAACCAACACCAAATTCAGAATAGAATCTCAAGTAATACAAACAGAAAGCCATGAAATAACATGCAAGCAAAATCCCTACCTGGATCCACATGCATCCAGCCGATTGAGGTCGATTCTGGTCGCCTTTCTCGCTGTCGTCTTGCCGCGGTCGTACGCGGCTTGTCGTGAGCTTTTTGCTCTCGTTTCCTTGAGGCAGAGGCGAGAAACAGAGAGGTCGAAAAGAGGAGAGGATGTCGGCGGCAAGGCTTGGCTAGGGTTTCGCTTCTCTCTGTGAGTGAAGAAAAGAGGCGAAAGTTAGAGAGAGTTGAGAGAAGAACGAGAGAGAGAGAGAGAGAGAGAGGTGAGCGGCGGCCGATTTGGTCTATTAGGGTTAGGTTTTGCTTTTTTTCGTGTAAGACGTTTATATATCTTTCCAGAAGACCGAAATGCCCTTAGGCTTTTCAGCTTATTTCGCAGCCATGCCACCGCGTTTTTGTGGAATTACCAAAATACCCTTCCCCTTCTCTGCATTAAAACGAAAAATCCTTAGAGCAGGTTTCGAACCCGCGTCCGTTTGATTGAGCGCGATGTACTGCTGGCGTATTGGCCAGTTGAGCTGCCGGCTATACATTTACAAATAAATCATTCTAGTTCATTTTATCATTTAATATCCTTAATACGAAATGTAGAATTGCGGATTAAATTTATCTCGTTTCTTTTCTAATACATCAAATCTCATCTTAATAACTGATATCCTTATATTATCTTTTCATAATTTCATAATATCAACTTAAATTTTATTAACAATAAATTTTGATAACGAAACCACGATCAGCGGAACGTGGTGATACTTTTATTTAAAATTATCAAAGTCCTAACGAACTACGCGGACTTTGATCCCTTCTAACGGGTACGTAGGCAACCGATAAGGTTCGAGTCCAACTAATCAACCAGCTTTATCTTTAAATTTTTACGTCAGTGGGCGTATAATTAAATTACAACTAATACGATAAAATCATTAAATGGTCCAGTGGGACCCCAAAAATACAAAATCATTACTAAAATACACCCAACTCGCAGAAACTTATCAAACTTAAGTAGTACCGATTTAGGGCGTTGTGGGGGTGTTGCTTAACTTCCCCACACGTAACCGTACTCCCGAACCCATATCTCTTAACCGCAGACCATATCTCGGTTCTGACCCTAAGGTTAGAGCCGATTCGAAGAGTGTTCGATCCACTCCAAATAAGATCGATGGCGACTCCCAAAAATGCCGACGCGACGACATCGGGCCCCCGGAGGGACGGTTGCGACACGACCAATGTGCTCCCATGGAATCCAGTTATCTTGCCATTTCTCAAAAGGGCACAGTTGGATTTGATTAGGTATTTTGTAGGCATAAAAGTCGATCGCCAACTCATCACCGCATTGGTGGAGAGATGGAGAAAGGAGACACATTGTTTCAACTTTCGCGAAGGAGAGTGCACCATCACGCTAAAGGACGTCGCCATCCTAACCCATCAGCCATCGACGGCAAAGCGGTGTGTGTGAGTGATCATCCTCCCGAGGATCGTGACGGTATGTCCGGTTGGCAGCATTTCATCCACAGTGTTTTGGGGGTGAAAGTACCAACCAAGGGGAGCATTGATGCGACGGATCGCTTGCCACCATTGAGGAAACACCAAGTATCAATCACTTGGTTGACGAAGTATTTTAGGGACCTTCACGATCCTGCCAAAAATGTGGTGCCCCTAACCGAGGAAAGTCCGGAGCTAGAGAAGGAAAGATATGCTCGTGTCTATCTCATAGGCATGGTAGGAGGAGTGTTCTTCTCCAAAAAATCGAGCAATTTAATTATTTGTGGATGGCTTAGGATCCTCCTTGGTAGTTGGGATGAGATGGGGGGAGTTGAGCTGGGCATCCGCTTGCCTAGCTAATATCTACCACCATTTGTGCAATGCATCTCTCAAAGCTGTGAGGGAGGTCAGCGGCGCAATGTTCATCGTCCAATTTTGGGCTTGGGAGCATCTGCCATGGATTGCACCGCTTTAAATGTCCTGACAGGAATTGGGGTCCCACTCAAATGTCCCCACTGGAAATCAGGAGAGTGCCCTTGTACTTGTCGGTAAGGAATGTACCATCCACTTGGATCACAGGGACACAGAAGTCAAAACCATCAATAGATTGCTTGAATGCCCAAAAAAGTCGTCTGAAATGGCATTTGTTACCTGGCTCTAGCGGTTGTAGCTCTTCATCTTGGCATCGAGGGGAGAAAACAGTGTCAGGGTTAGACGCCTCCAATGCCAAAATCAACCTGGGAAGGAATGCATATGATTCTTCCCAATCACCAAATACGGCGGCCAAAACTTTCTGCTTTCCATGCCACGCCTTCTTATAGTTAATCATATAACCACAACGACTTGCAATGTTAGCAGTTATGACTTTCACCTTCAGGTCAAGATCTTGCTCAATTAGATGCTTGATAGCCGCAGCAACCACGCTGGATTTCAACTGTCAATGACCTTGGGATGTTATGGATGACACACATGTGTGTGTGTTCACCGCACGGGATATGACCCAATGGTCGTGTCTCTTGCTGTTGATGGCCCGAATCCTAACATTGCATCCCTCGTTATGATTACGACATCCGACTATGAGCCTTTTCGTGTTGGAATGAGTTGTGTGCCATTCAAAATGCCGAGTCATTGCTTCAGTATCAATGGCGTGCCGCACCTCCTTCTTCGAGCCAAATTGTTGGCCCTTCATACCCAGTGAGTGGACCCCATACTGGAACCTCTGGGGGTTCCATGTCGCTGTCGACCATCCAATTGCCGTCTGGAATGTGATTGTAGTAGGGGACTGGTACACGGTCATGAGCCACCTCATCATCATTATCTGACTCTAACTCTGGTCCTGAATCATCAACACCTTCAAGAGGGTCGGAGCTGTCTGCACTGACGTTGTTCTCTCCTTCTTCATCGGAGGGGTCACTAACTGGTGCTGGCAGGGCATCTTCCATCTGATCCAGCTCATGAAAGGCACCTTCATCAGCTCCATAATGGTATTTGTAAAAACTACCGCTGCATGATTGGAAGTTGTACTGAGGTTGGTTGGCATGGTCCGGTTGAACTTCTTCTTCATATGACGGGAAAGATTGATGATGACCTTCACCTTGCTCTTGGTACTGAAAATAGGAATGCGGATCATGGTAACTTTGGTAGGGATGATCTCCATATAATTCACCTCCACCATGGATACCAGATGTTTGACCGTCTCCAGAATGACCTCCAACGCCTACGACCGCCTCGGTGTAAACGAACATCTCGGCTTTGGAAAGATTGTTGGACCTCAAGAATTCGAGCATGGCATCTACTTCATCCTGAGTGGTTATGAGATATTCCTCGTGCCACAACGACCTGCCTTCTCTGTTTGGATATCGGTACACCATACGATCAACTCTTCTCGTGTCATCCATGCAAGTAACATTAGTATACATTTGATAGAGGTCTTCAAACATCAGTCTGGTAGCGACCTTTATTTTATGAAAATTGCCACCGACGTAGGTGACCCCCTTTCCGGTCTCTTCCGTGTAACCATTCCACCGTAACCCAAGCGTGAACTTTTGGAATGCCATCTGCAAAAAAATCGTAGTTCAGTTAATATCATAAAAATCACAATAAAAAGTAATACAAAATAAACTTACGAGTTAACGTTAACTGCAAAAACACTAAAGAAGTAAGGAGCTACAACAGAAAATTGAAAAGAGAGAAGGAGAGGTGTGAAGAGAAGAGGTTTCCCGGGGTGTCGTTTATAGGCAAAATCATCAATGAAAACCGCACGAGGGTGCGGTTTTCATCTGCCCTGCAGCCCCACGTCTGCCAACCTGCATGGCAAAATGTTTGATGTCGGAAAATAATTACGACACACAAACCGCATGGGGGGAGGGTGCGGTTTGTGTGGGCAAAATCGCACTTTGGGGGTGCGATTTTGCTAGGTCAGGCCAAAAACCGCACCTAGGCCATGCGGTTCTGTTAGGTCAGACCTAGAACCGCATGGCCAAGATGCGATTTTGGCCCAGAATCTTAAACCGCACCTTGGGCGTGCGGTTTACATATAAGAAATTACAAAAATTAACACCCTTTTTAAAAAACAGTGAAAAAATTACATATAGATTGGATGATTTTTTTTTTATTTGTTTTTTTTTAAATGTACTATTTATGAAAAAATCCTCTATGTTTTTCTTTTTAAGACCGGTCGGTCTATGGAGCTGCTGGCAGAGGAGCCCTGATAGAGGTGTTGAATACGCGGTCGTTGGATGATTCCTACGTCAACTCACCGTTTGGTCTAGATTATTCTGGAACCCCGACGGCAGAGGCAAATCCGGCTCTAGCCTGCGCGCCTTTTGCTGGAACGCTATTCGTGGTCGCGCGACCTTTAACCCCCTGGGAATCTTGTCCCTCTTTCCTCTCTCGTTTTCCATCCGCCTCTCCGCCGACGAATCGCAAACCAGGCGGCGAGGTTTCATCCGCTCCCGTTAAAGAATCAATCAGGTCAGGATTTTTCCTTTCTCTCGCGACCGATTCATTTGGAATCTCAGCGGAACCCATCTCGTTACCCATCGTGATTGCTGGGTTAATTATTGCTTCGATCTCAGCAATCATGTCTGTATATGGTTTTGTTGGCGGAATTTCCTCTAGATTTAGGACTAGACAGCCTTTGTTTGGGATGATGATTGAAGTTCAGACTGTATGGCTTCTCTTCCTTGGCTGTGAAGATTTTGAACGAAGGCTTGAGCTTCGAAGTGTATGTGCTGTATACCTTTCGTGTTAGGAAACCCTAGAAGGTGTACTGTTGAGATGTCATTGGGAGCTTTACTTAGGTTCTATGAAAATGGAATCAAGTTTTTTACGCATGAACTTGATTTGGCCCTGAGGAAATCTTCTTTGAAGGAAATGGCGGCTTGTGGATTCTTCTTTATCCTGCATGCTATTTCTTGTCTAGTTGGGATACATATTTGACCGAAGTCAATCGACGAGGGTTGCAGTTAGAGGATTTGATGACTGATTTTGACATCCAAATGTCTTCATGTTCTTATCAAATGTGCTCAAGGGAGTACCTGAAGCTCAGTAGGCTTTATAGCTTTTTTGTGCTGGTAAACTGCATTCTATCTGTGCTGATTTTGATTGTCTGTTATATTATTTTTAATTTTTAAGATACCTGGGCAGAGCCAACATATCATGGCAGATCACCACCCCAACGAAGGACCTTCCACAAGCAATGTTTCTGGGGAAACATCTGATTCAAGTGTGCAGCTCAATGTGAAGACTTTAGATTCACAAATTTACAGTTTCCTGGTGGACAAGAAAGTGAGTATTATTTGCTCATGTCTAGTTCTTCATGTTGGGCACATTTGATTTGCTTCGTGCAATATATGGGGCATGTTCATTTCATTCCATCATTATCTGATCTGCAATTAAAGTAGCTGGTTTTCTCAAAGAGTTGTCCAAGTCATTACATTCAAATTCAGCTGTCTAAACTTTGTCAGTAATGTGTAGTTTGTGTTCTTGGCTTGGATGTCTTCAGATGCCAGTTCTAGCTTTCAAGGAGAAAATAGCTAGTCAGGTTGGTGTTCCAGTCAATCAGCAGAGACTGATTTTTCGAGGAAGGGTGTTGAAGGATGAACATCTCCTCTCTGAATATCGTATCCTGTCATCTGTACACTTCAGTTCAGCATGTTACCTTTATTCACAAAAAGTGTTGCGCAGTACCCTTTAGAATTAACCTATATAATGGATAATCCAAATATTAAAGGGTTTCTGGTGTATGTGTTAGGCTTTATCAATCATCTACTGAATTTTTTGAGGTGGTAAATGTTTTGAACATCTACTTGGTTGAGGACTAAAGTAGCTGATACCATTGTTATGTGAAATTGTTTTCTATTTTCATCCACTACGATACAGAGTTCTGATGAAGGTCCTGTAATGAGGGCGATTTTAGTCTTTTGTGCATACAAAGATTGCAGTGCTGTTATTCTGATTTTGCCAGGCAGGGATAGGGTATCTATTATGTGGTGAGTTATACATAGATTGGGAGTATGTTATGTGGTGCATCATTGTTCATATTAGTCATCCATCTACACAGCAAGTATTCTCTGTCTCCCTTGACTGCATCTAGAGGTTGAGAATGGTCATACATTGCATTTGGTTGTGAGGCAGTCAGCACAAACACAACCTTCATCCGAGACAAGCTCCGGAGACGCAAGAGGTAATCCTTATGGTTGATCTTTCTGTGTCGAGGTCTGTTTCTCGGCCTGCTTTGTTGTCAATTGTAAGTAAGTGAAGTTTTGCAGGGAATGATGCTAGTTATGGTGGCCTCGGAAACCGCCCTGGCCAGATTCCACACAGTGTTTTGCTGGGGACATTTAGCGTTGCAGATCAAGGTGACGGTATGGTTCCAGATCTAAATAGGGTATGCAGTTAACATCTTGCTATAGCCAGGTTCTGAATGCAAATTGTTTGGTACACTCAGGCACAATTGTAGAAACATTTATCTTATTTGTGCTTGAAATGTAGGTTATTGGGTCTGTGTTGAACTCAATAGGGATTGGCGGACTGGCTGGCACTGCTGGCATGGGCAGCATGCAGTTCCCACCTATGGTGAGTTTTATTGGTGCGCTGTAGAAGTACCACATTGCAGGTCTTGTATGCATAGGGTGTAAATGGAGGTTTTATTTTGAATAGTGTGATTGTTTGCGCTTACTCCTGGCACAATTTGAGGGAAGTATTATATGCAGCCTAATGCTACTAGCCAGACTCATCAAGGTAATGGAACCAGTGGAAATGTTGGTGGTCAGAATCAAGCCGGAAATCCAGCACAGGCGGGTAATACATTCCAATCCCAGCCTCAAGTTGTGCAGATTCCTCTTGCTACATCAGTACCCATTCCTTCATTTCATTCGGTATGCGTTTGACTACCAGGTTGCCTATTTTTTGTTTTGGCAGTGAGATATATCTGCTATTAAAATGACGTCTCCTAATTGGTTTTCTTTTTGAAGCCAATTCCTGATTCTCTGAATACCATCTCTGAATTTTTGAGTCGGATGGAGCAAGTACTTGCCCAAAATGGTAATTGTTGGAAAGCCGTTGCTGTATTTCCCAGCATTAAAATTGTATCCAGAGTAACTAATTTTCTTTTATCTAGGGTCTCAGCAGGGTACCGCTTCAACAACTTCAGGAGTCCCTCCAAGGGTTGAGTCACCTTCTAATGTGCAGGGGCTACCTGCACTTGAAGCTTTAAGCACCGTCTTGCGACAAGCCGAAAGGCTTCTTAGTGAGCATGCGGTGGCTTCATTGTCTGTAAGGATCATCTTATTAGCATGTTAAATTTTTCCACTTTGTTGGCTTTGTTACCCCACATTTTTGGATGAAGTTAATGAAAAAAGTTATGTGGCCAGAGAGGTCGTTCAGAGGAACCTAAGTTTTCACTTCCTGAGTTTTTCATTCGATAAGGACGTTCTAAATTTTGTGCAATGCTCTAGAATCTTGCAGGACGCCTGGAAGGAGAGGGGACTTCTCCTGATCTCAGTATCAGGAGCCAAATCCAAACAGAAACTGTGCAATCTGGTCTTGCAATGCAACATCTTGGTGCACTGTTTTTGGAACTGGGTCGCACATTGTTAACATTCCGTATGGGGCAATCTCCTGTAAGTGTGTTCTTTCTCTGTTGCTTTCTTCAGCTGGTATATGTGCGTTCTCCTTAAAACATATTTGATGAATTGCAGGGAGAGTCCTCTATACACTCTGGGCCTGCAGTTTATATATCTCCATCCGGGCCTAACACCATAATGGCCCAGGTTCGATGCTCTACCCAGTTTATGTTTATACTGTGCATGATGATTGAACTAGCTTTTGCTAATGTGAATTCTTTTACTTTCTATCCAGCCATTTCCTCTGCAAACTCAATCTCTGTTCGGTGGCATTAGTGGCCAATCAAGTGCTGTTCCATTTGCTCCTGTTGGTGTTGGAAATGCCCCAAGGCATGTAAATATACACATACATGCTGGTAAGCAATATAGGATTTGGCATTTCATATCAGACTGGTCCTTTTTAGTCAACTGACACACTTTTCTTAGGCACAACAATGGCATCTGTTCTACCGACAATGGGTGTCAGGGCAAATAGTGGCGAACCTGGAACTGCCCAAGGGAGGGTACCTGGCAGAAGCGCTGCTGCTGCAGTGCCTGCACAAACTCGTGGGATTCCAGTCTCAGATACTGCACAACCAGATAGAGGTGATGTAGCACCTGATTTGGGACACATGTCTTCTATGGTTTCTTCGATCAATTCTAGGTTGAGAGATCTTATGGCAAATTTTCCAGGACAGCCAATAACTGTACCAGGTAAGCATTCTGCTGGACGGGAACAATTAGAGTTCAATTTCCTCACTGTTATAACTGAAATTATCTGAAATACTTGTAGGATCTGAAGAATCTGCTGCTGGTACTGCTATTGGTGGAGAACAACAACCTGCATTGGCCACTGATCGAGCTGTTGAGTCAAGTGGGTCCTTGCCTGATCTCGTATCTGAAGGTGACACTAAGAAGGTATACTCTTTTTTGTGCACAGTTTAGGAATCTTTCTCTTGCTCTTTTCCTTCTATTTCTGGTCTTGTGCTAAATAATTAGGGAATCACAGATGCAAGATGAAAATGTGCAAATCAACAAGAATGAGGAGAAAAATGATCTTAATACTTCCGTTAAAGATGTGTCCTCTAGTTCAGTGGGATCTTCACTGAAGAAGGAAGAAGCTTCTGAAAATGTTCCAAGTGCTAGTGCAAGACATGATCCTCCAGAGGGTGCTAAGGCTGCCCCTCTTGGGTTGGGTTTGGGGAGTTTGGACCGTAAGGTATGACAACATTTTTTCTAATTGTCTATCGTCAGTAATCTTATCCATTCTATTCGCATTGGACTTCTTAGCTTTAAATAGAACACGAGAGAGATAGTAATATGGTTGTCTTCAGAGATATTCCTTCCTCCAACACAACGTTGAAGAAGTGGGCCAGTGTTTTTTTTTATAGTTTTTAATCACAGATTAGTGAAAATTGTCTTACAGTTGCTTCCACTTGATTTACATTGCATGACTTTATATTATCATATCTTGGTGTGTATAAAAAATGAGTAGAGTATCGCTGCAAGCCTAAGTCTTATATATTCCCTGTGGGAAAAGAAGACACATTGTGGTTAGAAACTCGTTTTATGCTTTAGGATTATGCAAATTGACCACGTTCCTCCAAAAAGCTGAATGGTAATCAGGTTATTAGGTTATTCAGTTGCTCTGCTTGACACATTTATATGTATATTTCCCTTGCCATCTTCATATGTACAATTTGTTTCAAATTCTGAAACGTGAGTGTCGATATTGTTTGTGATCCTAGAAGCGAGTTAAGCAGCAAAAACCCTCAGCCACTACAGATGGCACCCAAATAGCACAGCAACTCTTACAGACACTTAGCTCCCGAAGCTCCGCTCCTATCTCAGCTTCAACAGATGCGCCCTCAGGTCAAACCACTCTTCCCGTTGTCGGGATCCGTGAGGGCGTAGCAGACCATGACTCTGATGTACAGGTCGATGCTGCTACTGCCATGTCGCAAGCTCTACGAAGCCCTGGTTTTGATAATTTGTTGGCAGGGGTCTCTGAGCAGACTGGTTTCGGTTCTCCCGATATCCTGAGAAACATGATGCAGGGGCTCACTCAGAACCCCCAGATCATGAATGCTGTCAGTCAAATCGCTCAGCAGGTTGACACCCAAGATATTGGGGACATGTTTTCTGGTGCCGGGAGAGGCCAAGGTGGTGGCGGTTTTGATCTCTCGAGGATGGTTCAACAGATGATGCCTGTTGTTTCCCAAGTTCTGGGGCAAGGATCTGCTGTGCCACGAGCATTCCCAATCCCACAGCCTGTGCCTGAAAGGATTACGTCTCGAGAACCCAGTGATCAGAGTGTCCAGGTATGCTCTGTCTAACTCTCTCTGGAAGGTAAAACCTTAATCTGAAATGCTCATTTTCGCTATGTTATCCTGTTTTACAGATGGACCTGCATGCTGTGACTCAGAGAATTGAGCATGGTGATGCACCTGAAGACATATTTCGTGCTATGGCCGAAAATGCAGCTAGGTTGAGTGGCAATGATGGTGCAAGTGCACAGGATTTGAGCAACAGTGAGGATCTAGTCAATGTAAGTTTCGATCAGAATTGAATTTAATTGCATTCTTTGTATCCATGGATTGAATTATTGGTGTCTTTCTTGTTATCATCTGTCAAAGCTCGTTCTTTTTGTGCTGGCTGTGATGCAGGAATATTTGGAGTTACTACGCCGGGACATAAGAAGGCGTTGTGAGGGTGACTCTGATTGAGGCAGTTGTTGATCTCGTTCGTTAGGCAAGGAACCTTGAACATATCTGTTTAGGTTCAACCAAAATCCGTGGCCTTGCTCTGCTTAACTGAACAAAACTAGAAGCCTTTTGATGATACGGTTAGGCTCCAGCCCCCTGGGTATTTAGTTTATTAGATTCCAGTCGTGGTATGCTTTTGGATTGGCTGTATAATTTCAGCACGATACAAGGTGGAGAGGGTTGGCAGCCATTTCGTTTTAAAAATGCTTGAAGCTGTTTGTTTGATAGTATTTTGATCGATCTTTTGCTGCAAATTCTTTTCGGTTGTGACGCAACACAAGAACTGGAATTCGTTCGAATAGACTCTAGCTTCCTTGTATTCACTACTACTTTTGGTTCCAACATAACCTGCCTTTTGGACACCATTTCAGCCATGGAAATAGATTTCTTCACATATATTCTTAGCCACCGAGTTGATTTCGAAAATTGGAATCAAACTAGATTATAATCTCAGATCATGTTTGTCTAAAATTGAGCCGAAAAGCACTTCAGTATTGCTGTGGTAGCATTTGTCCGGTTAAACCAAAGCGGATTCATCGCCATCCGATCAACATTCCCTTACGTGGCAGAATATAACAGCTGCGTCCTCATGGGATAATAGTGTGCCGCCGTCGCACCCGATGTAGAGGAGCAAACCGTCTATATTTACAGGTCCGGCCCACAAAAGGGGATTTTCGATTTTCATCCCCTCAGGCCTCAGCTCTCTCTCACAGCAGCTAATCAGAAATCAGATACCGATGGCTTCCCATGGTTCGGCCGTCGACGCCCAAGGCTCCAGACGACCACTGGGGTTTCTAGCCAACGCGATCAAGAGGAAACACAGCTTCATCCAGCTCGGCGCCATGACCGGGATTCTGCTCCTGAGCGTCAGATCGCTGGGGCAGAAGTACCGCATCCACGACCTCGAGGACGACACGGCGGCTCTCAGGGAGGAGCAGCAGACGCTTGCCGACCGTATGAAGACCATCAAGGAAGCTTTGCTGCGGGAAGCGTCGCTCGAGCCTTCCGGCCGCTTCGCTTCTCGACTCCGCAGTCTCTTCGGCGATGGAGATTCGAACTAGCGTCGCGACTATACACGGTAGCTCTATCTCGCGATCCTCTGCTGTGAGTCTTTTGGTTTCCTCGGTTCTCTTATTTTTGGATTGGTGGTGGAAATGGAGACTAGTTGAGCTGGAGTGCCGGACTTCTTTTTTCAAATAACAGAAAGTAGTGGAATGTCTATTATCATAATAATGAACAACTGTTAGGCCAGACTTATGTTTAGTAGGAACTCGGAAATGTGTAGTTGCAGACTCGTTAAGACATGTGGAATTGCACTTTTCAAGCTTGTGTCAGTAGAATTCGGCCAAGAGTTCTAATTGTTCGGCTCATGAGAATGATGAACAAGCGCTAGGACAGACTTCTGTTTGATATGTTGTTGCAGACTCTTCAAGATGAGTGAAACCGAAGTTTTCAAGCTTCCGTAACTTGAATTCGATAAAGAGTTCTTCTCCTTGAGCTTGGGATATCACCATTTTGTGGACGGAGATGCTGCACAATGTGCTGTTTGGTTTCACTTGCAATTGTCCGATTACATCATTTTCTCTTAATTAGCATCCAGTCTATGGGTTGGATGCACCGACTGTGGTAATTTCTTTGCTGCATGTTATGGTAATGATACGCGGTGGATGTTTTTCGGTGTGCACAATGTTTTTCTCATGGTTCTGATTGAAGCTATTTGTGAATCAAAAGAACTTCCTCCCATTAAGAGCAGGATATAGAGTTTGCAAGACTGTTAGAGATGAGAAACTTGGTATAATAATAGGCATTTCTTTGTGGATGGATCACCAACTCATGCTAGGAGCTGATTGATATAGACTGGATAGTAGCCGTTCTTCAACTGAAAATACTTTCAAGGAAGTTAGATTTCGAGCTGTGGTTTTTAGTTCCACTGCTCATCTTTAGTTCATTTGGAGTTGCTTGAAACTCGCTTGATATCTTTTGTTGACACAGCTCGCCACAACTACCAGACTCTCGGGATTGTTTTCGAGTTATTGATCTAGCGCAACGATTATGTAGTGTGTGTAACAATGCTTGCATGCTGGATATGGTTTGTTGTTGGAAGGTCTTAATCAGTCAACATAGGAAGGACTCTCATTGCTCAACTTTGACTGTGAATGTTAGAGGCCATAGTCTGATTCTCTTCACGATTCGTGAAATGAAAACCACTTACTGGATAGGTCGACTTCAGGTATAGTAAGGGAGAACTAGACAGAGCAAAATTATCCATCCATTGCGGGGCATAAAGGTTGGAGAGATGTACACACAAGTAAAATCTAGAGTTCGATTGACACTGCAAAGTGCGGAAGTAGTCTAACTATGTCTGCCTAGTTGAGTATATTATCTGACTCGATTTGTGCTAGGATGTGTATTAATCGAGTTGCAGTTCTGTGGGAGCACAGGTATTATTTTTGACTTGCACCTCTCCGCCCTGCCTATTTTTAACTCATCCTATCTTGATTTACCTCAATATCTATTTAGCTGTTTCATATTTTAACTTTCTTTATTTTCAATGAATCTTCTAATAGATGCAAGACTTTAATTTTCAACTAATTAGATCAATTATTCCTTCTATTTCCCATTTTTCATTAATAAGTGTTCTCATTTGCTTTAGTATAAAAAATTTATTTTTTCTTTTAGTTTCTTCAAATAACATGTGAAAATTAGTCGACTTGTCCCGATTTGTACCTGTACGTGTATTCTTGACCCGATCCGAGCATGGTGTGGGACAAGTATGGTTATTAAGATACCCACCCCCATTGCCACCACGGCTTACGTCATGTTGCTACTTGTTCGGACTTCCTAATACTAGCCAATTAATCATCAACCCTTGAATTCCATTATATGGATTTGAACTCTCAAAAAAGGATTTTAATGGAAGTGGCTATGGAGTCTCATACTACACCAAAGATGAAATTCTTCATTTGGAGATGTGCTAAAAGAGCTCCTACAAATAGAAAAACCTCCATAGTCATGGATGCTTTGTGACAACTTGGATGAAACCATTCACCACTGTTTTTTCCAATGCAACTATGCACAAGGAAGCTTATAACCACCTTTTCCCGTCCATACCCACCTAAACGCCTCTTTTTGATCCCCCTTAACGGGCTTTACTTCCTTGGTAACACGATGTCTGTGCAATCTATTCAACCTGTCATCTACTTATTTCCCAATGTGAAAGACACGAAACAAAAAAGTGTTTCGCAACTCTCAGCCTTGGCCTCTGTCCACGTGCAGAAAAAGATCAAATGACCTACTTCGATGGACCTCCTACCCCAAACACTTACAACATCACACTCCTCGTTGTCGGCCCATGACATCCTAAACTCATTCTTCTCCACCATCGAGCAAACTCTCTTTAGAAACTCATTGTGATGGGTCATTTATAAATGAGTTCCAGGCTACGGTTTATTGCGTTGTTATAATCAATAGCCATGAAGAAATCTACAATGGGAGGACTGGCACCCTGCTTTGTTCTTCGCCTATCGAAGCGGAAGCAAATACATTGCTTGAAATGCTTTTCTGGCTCAACAATATTCTTCTCCATGTTTGATACGTTCGAATATTGGTTTTGACCCATACTATCTCTCCTTACTCCTTGTCGCGGAGAGTCGTAGCTTGACTTGGGAATTGGGATCATGGTTGATATTCTCAAACGTTGCCCTTTGTCAAGATCACTTCCTTCAAGCACAAGTTTAATATTAGAGCGGATTGAGTTTTTTCAATAAAACTTAACGGGCTATATATCTCATTCTTTTCAAGTTGGAATTTGATATTTTTTTTTACAGAAATCAATTCAATCATGCTCTAGAAAATGACGTCTACTTTGATATATTTTGAAGAGAAATGGAGATGTATATCACCAGTTGTTTATGTCCTAATTTTTTTAGGATGGAAGGGATGAGTTGGAATCAAGTTCGTGACCCGACCGATATGCACTTACAGCTTTTGCACTCCTTGAACCCTGCAACAAGGTCCTCATGCGGGAAGCTTGGGACACTCTCCGAAGATCTAGTTACTTAGAGAAAGGATATTAGGTTTTATGTATTTTATAGAGAGAGTAGGTAGTTGAACATACCATTAAATGAGAATCAACCTTGTTATTTATACTTGTTCGATAGTAGCCAAGTGCATTTAATGCAAATGTCAGACGTCTGTTTTACCTCGGCCAATGAGGCCGCAGGCCGTACGGGAGCCTGGGAAAAAGAGACTCGATGCGTTCCGCCTCAGTTCATGCCTCGAGGTTGTCTCGAGGAATGTAGCTGACCTAGTCATGCTTTTACTAGTCAACTTTCTTCGATAGTGATAGATCAATTGCGGGGCGGGACCTTGATGCGTCTCGCCCCAACTCATTTGTTTGTGTGAAAGATTGAACTTATTGGGCCGAACCGGCCTATCTTTCTGGGCTTACTTCTTAGTCCTTGAATGATGAGCAATTGGGCCCAACACGCGCAGCCTTGGCCCAACACGGTATATACCATGGTGGTAATGTGGTAGTACATAAGATTAAACAACGGTAGAATGAATATATATCATAGTGTAAATTGATTGTATACATGAAGCAAGATATACTAATCATCATATACCCCTTTTGCCACCGTCTACCACCGCCTACCACCCTATACCATGGTGATATAATTGGTCCGCAATTATTTTTTCATAAATTTATGGGTAATTAGAATAAACCGTCACACAACTTATCACTTAGTACAAAACGGTCACAAAAGTTTAATTTTGCATGTTTCAATAAAATACGTTTAGATGAATAACAAAATGGTCATTCCATCCATTTCCATCCAAAATGCTGTTAATTTTGTCTAGTCAGCAGTCCATGTCATAAAAATATTAATAAAAAATTCACGTAACTAAACAAATTAAACTAAACGAACCTGACTAAATCCACCCGAACCTATAACCAACTCTTTCTTCCCCGACGACTGCGGGAGAGAACTGTCCCTGCCGTCAATGGCTTCATTCCTCAATCTCTTTTCCTCGACCGCACATGACTTGATTAATGACCTCCCTATCCCTCTCGGCGGCGAGCTCCTTTCCTTCCCTCCTCCGACTCCTGTTTGATCTGTTGGGATTTTTAGTGGTGTGAATGGAAATAAAAGGGGAAAGTTTCAAGAGAGTCTCTTGAAGTACCATGTTGGTAAGATGTGGGAAGGCACGGCCTCGAATTCGATCGATTTGATGGAATATGTGGTTAATTGGTTAAATTGGCTTGTCTAACCAAATGGACCAAACCAAACCGAGTTGAACCAAATCTAACCGAACCGATGTGGCGGTTGGAATAACCAAACCGGTCCAACTTCCATGAGGCCGAACCAATGCAATGGTTGAAATATTTTAAACGAACCAATGCAATGGTTGGGGTGTAACCACC